ATATATAAACATGATTTAATGCTAAATAAATCTTCTATATATATATAGAAAAATGTTAGATCGTCTGAAATTGTCTAAATCTATTTTTTCAGTAAGATAAGCAGGGATATTTTGAGACTGTTATTCAAGGCATGAATTAATTTTGCTCTGAAATAGATATTATACAAGATGACTCAAAGGTATGCGTAGTAATTCCTCAAAGCAAGGATGAAATAAGGGAATGATTGAGTCTTTCAAACGAAAATAGACTTGCTTCCGCCGATCAATTTGGTCAAGATTGAGTTTATTATATGACCAATGTGTCATCATGCTGCAATTTGCATATTCTGATATTTAAATTACAAATTTGTTGGGTTAAATCCAAATTCATTTTCGTCAATTTTCATTCTTACAAAAATTTCTACTTGGTAAGGATAAGAAAGACTGTGCATGAGTGAGGGATCTATTGTCAATGATCCAATTTCAGAAATCATCAATCCAAGCCAGGATGATAGAAAAACAACACTATTGAAATTGAACAAGCGTCCGAAGTAAGGAATGACGAATGTCTGAGTTGTAGCCAAATCTTTGGTTCTAAACTCTTATTCTTTCAAAATTTTAATATATATTTTTTATATTTGAAACTGATAAGATTTAAATTTTGATTATTAAAAAAATTTTAATGTTTATTATATATTTACATGATAATTTTTAATTTTGATTAAGCATATGCTTAGTTTGAATATGATCAAGTCAATAATAATAAAAAAAAAACTTCAATTAATTTCAGGAAAATTATGTTTGGGCACTTCCTTGTTCCAAAATCAATGTGACCTAGAAGAAGGTGGGCTTAGCAGCCGCGTATAATATATATATATATATATATATATATATATATATAAATATAAAGATAAAATATTTTATTTATAAAATCTAAATTTTCATTTCCTTTATTAACAATCTCCCTAAACTCTGGAACGGCTAAACTTTTGTTAACAAATAAAGTAAAGCTCAAGAATCAACCGACTTAACGATACACAAAATTGAATTCCCCTAGAATATTCGCTTTTAAATACCCCTATCATAATTAACCCACAAGTACCTTTTAAATAACCCTCCTCTGTTACGAGAATCTTGTACCAAGAAAACATTCAAACAGTTCTTTAGTTTTTCAAATCTTCTGTTTGATTTTCATTCGGAGAGATGGCTCGAAGAATTGTTGTGATTTTTGATTTTGACAAAAACTATCATTGATTGCGATAGTGATATCTGGGCTGTTGATGACATGGGTTTTACCGAATTGTTCAACCAGCTTCTCCATACCATGCCTTGGAATTCTCTCGTGGTAAGCCATAACAAGTCCCTTGAATCTTTCTGTTGTTTTGCCTTTTAAAAGAAAATATGAAACTCAATGTTTAAACTTTAAATGTTTTTTTTTTGGTGGTATAAAATTACAGCACAGGATGATGAAGGAACTTCATGCCCATGGAAAAACCATCGATGACATTGCTGAGGTTTTGAAACGAGTTCCTATCCATCCTAGGATCATCCCAGCTATTAAATCAGCTCATGCTTTAGGGTGCTCTTTTCTTCTATGCTTTTCTTCTTAGTGTTTGATCTCTGACTACAAAACCGGAGTTTGGAGCAATAGAAATTTAGGGTCGTGATCACATTGGTTTGATTTTTTTTTTCCAGGTGTGAACTCAGGATTGTAAGTGATGCGAACATGTTCTTCATTGAGACAATTCTGGAGCATCTTGGAGTGAGGGAATATTTCTCAGAGATCAACACCAACCCCAGCTTTGTTGAAGAAGAAGGGAGGCTAAGCATCTTCCCTTACCATGATTTCACCAAGTGTTCCCATGGCTGCAACCTCTGTCCCCCAAATATGTGCAAGGTATCACTTTTTTTTCATCAACAACATGATTTATTTCATTCATACGACAAATTTAAATTATTTGAAAACATTTTTGGGGCTTGAATTTGCTGGTATTCCACATGTTCATATATAGTCAATTTCATCCCACTAGGTTGGATTTAGATATGTCAGCTTCTTTCTTGACCCCACTTAATCTATTAAAGTAATGGTTCATATAAAGACATAAATAAGACCCATGATCTTGACATGGGTCAACAATTTTTAAAATCATATGAATCTACAATCATGAAATATGATGTCAACAATTTAAAATTTTTGGCTTCTGCTTTGTTCAACAGGGAATGATCATTAAGACGATTCAAGCTTCTTTAGAGGGGAAGAAAAAAATCATCTACCTTGGAGATGGTAGTGGGATTACTGCCCAAGCCTGAGGCTTGAAGAGTCAGACTATGTGATGCCAAGGAAGAATTTTCCAGTGTGGGATTTAATTTGTAGGAATCCTATGCTCATCAAAGCTGAGATTCATGAATGGAGTGATGGTGAAGAGCTGGAGCACGTTTTGTTGCAAATAATCACAATGATTTTCGCCGAAGAAGACAACAACAGCTCTGTCCAATTGATCTCTGTTGATTGCAAACTGCAAATGATTTCAGCATCTAGCCATACCATGCCTCATGCCCTGCCAGTTCCTCAATAGAGTAATATTTGTTGGGCAGATCGATGCCAACACTCATCTAATGCAGAGCTGCAGATCGATGCCAATACTCATCTAATGCAGAGCTGCAGATAGTTGCTCAAAGGATTTTGATTGTTAGGCCTTAATTATGGCCTTAATTTTCTCTAATCAAGTGTGTTTGAAATAGTTGAAAATAAACTTTGCTAAAGAAAATAAGTGTGTTTGAAAAAGGATTATATATATATATATAAATATAGCATAAACATAATTTATAATTATAGGTGACTGATAATTGACAAACTGTCCCTATATGGAAAAAAATCAACATCCAGTTGTCGTGTTTTTCAACACGAGTCGTGGCTTTCACACAATGTTGTTGAATAAATAGTGTCTACCATGGAAATGCTTTGGTCATTTGGTGTAAAGTTTAATTTATTTAGCTGCCCCCCAAGTCCAAGACTGAACTTCTTCTACAGGCCTTCATCGAGGATTGGACTGCCTCTAAATCTGATCCCATGTTGCTGCTACCTATCATACAATATTACAGCTTTTAAAGTCATAGAAATGCTCTACTTCGCTTGCAGTTCGCACCAGGCAAATTTTCAATACGTGAATAATCACTTCGACTAGCGTATGTCCGCTCTTTAAAATTTGGACAATTTTGTTTTTAAATTCTATATTTTAAGGAATATTTGTTATTCTGTTAATTTTGATAATAAATTTAAAAATTTTACTATCAACAAATGTAATAATTTGCTTTATTTATTTATACACCCGGCAAGAAATTGAATAGATATAGAATGATTGGATATGTAACAAGATTTTGAGATTGACTTGTCATAGAAAAAAAATAATGTTCAATATTCGTCGCACATGCTTCGTCAAATGATTCTAATTCTCTTTGATGAGAATTTTTGTCATTTTTATTAAAAAAAAAAAAACCATTGCAGATATATGAAAATATACATATTAGTAATTATTATTCTAAATTAATAAGTTGATTGTTTTAGAAAAATAAGAATAACTATAAATTCAAATATATTTTGAATTTACTTAAAAAGAATTTAAGATTATAATTTTAAGATATATTAAATTTAAATATTTTAAATATGTAATATCTTCGATCTCGCATAAAAAATTTATTATGATATATATCTTCATATTTAAACATATTTATGATACATTTTTGTGAAATAAAAATATTGAAACCTTTAATTTGAGTTCATAAAAATAATATTTCGTAGATTTAGTATAAATTTTTACAATAAATATCATGTCAAACACAATTGAAAGTGTCAGTGTTAAATACTACACAATGAGAATCAACTCTATAATTTTAATTCTGTATACAATTTATTTAGTTTGATGAGGATATTCGAGAATTATAATGGCTTCAATCTCACGTTGAAAGTTTATGAAAAATCGTTATAATATATATATATATATATATATATATCTATCTGTATATGTGTAAAAACTTAAATTCATATTTATGAGATATCTTTTAAAAGATAAAATCATAAATTTTTTTAATAAAAAAAACTATATCTTTACGTGTGAGTCTAAGTCTTCATAAAATAAAAAATGATTTTCATGTTAAAATAAAGGGTTTTTTTTTAGGTAAACCTAGGCTTGATCATTCTAGAGAGTGTTTCTAAAACAACATTTTAAATACATCAATATAATTTTAGAAGAAGATGTATTTTTAAAATCAAAGTAAAATCTTAAATACATTAAAATAATTAAAAAAAACATATTTCTAAAATCGTTTAAAAATTTAAATACAAACAAAATTTAAAAAATTCTTAATTATTTTATCAAAAAGTATAAGCCAAAATCTAAACATACGTAAATTTTTTTGGAAGTTTTAAAAAGTAAATTTGTCAATTAAAAAAAAACTAAATTATTAATATTTTCAAACCAGTGATTAGATTAATGAAAATAAAATATTATATTTATACTTTTTCGGTGGGTATTTCAATTGGCATATTCTCAATATTCTCGCCTTTTTGCCATAAAAGCATTTAGTAATAAACAAAAAGTTAAAATACTAAAAAAGTTATTAAACTATTTAAATTTAATTAAATAATTTTTTTTTATTTGTATTCATATAACTCCTTACTTTAAATAAAAGATTTATTTATATTAAAAACTTATTTAGGTATAAATTAAAATTTAAGATTTTATTGAAATGCAAATTAATGTAAATTAAAATTTTTTTGTCAATTATATTAATTAAAAGTTAAAAACATAATAAAATGCAATAAAAAATAAAAATTTATATTTAGAAAGTGATAAAATTCATAAATTTTTTATTATTTTAACCTAAATAAAACCAGAACATTATTTATTTGCAATTATTTGATCTTTCATGATTTCATCAAAGGGCCAATATCTCAAAAAAAAATAAAAATGAAACCCATGCTTACGAACTTTCGTGGCTACCAGAAAAAGAAAGACTTGGGTAACAAACATTAATTAAATATTTCCAAAAATCATAGCCGTCAATTTCAAATTCACGCCCATCTTTCCTCTATATAAATACCCTGGTTTGTTCTAGACATTCCCAAAGACAGAGTAAACCTCACTCAAATATCCTTCCATCTCTTTACGTGGTGATAGATTTTTCTTTCCTTATTCATCATCAAAAATGGCTTCAGGCATAGTTGTGATTTTCGATTTCGATAAGACGATTATCGATTGCGATAGCGACAATTGGGTGTTGGATGAGTTGGGGGCAACGGAGTTATTCAATCAACTACTCCCCACCATTCCTTGGAACTCTCTTATGGTAATTACTCTGTTTCTTTTCACGTTGCATGTTGTTGCTGTTTCTTTTCTTTTCCTTCTTTCCAAACAGGATTTAATCATTTTTTTATGTACAAATAGTACAGGATCGAATGATGACAGAACTTCATTCACAAGGAATAAAAATTGAGGACATTGTGGCTGTTCTAAAAAGAACTCCAATACATGCCCGAATCATCCAAGCCATTAAATCAGCTCATGCTTTAGGGTATTGTAACGTACACATTTTTTCTTTCTGGTTTTCTAGCTAGAAAAATACTGAAAGTTTTGGTGGCCATGGCATTATTTTCAGATGTGATTTGAAGATTGTAAGCGATGCGAATGTGTTCTTCATCGAGACAATTTTGGACCATCATGGGCTGAGGGAATGCTTTTCAGAGATCAATACGAACCCAAGTTTCATCGATGAAGAAGGCAGGCTAAGAATCTTCCCTCACCATGATTTCACTAAATCTCCTCATGGATGTCATCATCCCTGCCCTCCAAACATGTGCAAGGTATGCTTTTTTTAACTTAAAAATCATAACTATGAATCATGCATGCTTCAAACATGATTAGGAAACTGAACTTACTTTCCCGAACAAATTAAAGGTTTTAAAGCTGTCTTTCTTGCCCCTAAAAGGACCATGATGTTTATCTGAGACAGGCCTCTGATTTTGACATAATCAAATGCATTATTTAAATAGCTTCCCTACATTTGTGTTTTAATAACAGAAGGAACAATCTTTAGTGGATCATGACAAATCACATAATTTTTGGGAAAATTTACGTACATGCAATTAATTAATCAATCCAAAGCATGACCATTAGCTGTAAGATATATATATATATATATATATATATAATGATATCATTTTTTTTATTATATAATTAACTATGGTTTAATTCCCTTTTAATAGGGTATCGTGATTGAAAGGATCCAAGCTTCTCTGTCCATGGAGAAAAAGAAAACAATAATCTACCTTGGCGATGGGATTGGTGATTTCTGCCCAAGTTTGAAGCTTGGAGATGGGGACTATGTAATGCCAAGGAAGAATTTCCCTGTTTGGGACTTGATTTGCAAAATTAGGGGGCTAATGAAGGCAGAAGTATGCGAATGGAGCAATGGAGAGGAGTTTGAGTATATGTTGCTCCACCTTATTAGCAGGATTTCCATGAATAAAATCAACAGTGGCAATACTGCTCAGCTATATTCAGTTGATTGCAAGCTACAAACAGTGCCAGGCGCTGCCCGTGAAACCATCTCCCAGGCCATTTCTCTTCCTTATTAGAAGTTAAACTTGAAGTTGAAATGGCGAATTAATTTCTGACAATGTGATGTCTTTTAGCTTTGGAAATCCACTTTACCCTCGCATTTGGGCATTCAAATTAATTGATTATAATTGACAATAAGATGACAAATTAATTGAGCATTAGTGTATTCAAATTCACTTTCTTAATTCCATCTTTCTAAACATAGCATAAAGTAGTTTGAAAAGGAATTTTACCCTAGCATTGCATTGTTGCTGAAGGCAGCTCTGGTTTGATAGCCAAGTGACAACATCAAAAGCATATAAATTATCAAAAACTGAAAACTGCTACAGGCTTAACTTACCAGTTCTTGATCAACGTTCTTTTTTGGTCAGAGTTGTTGATCAAAGTTGAAAATGCTGAAAATGAATTCCATCCAGTATGGACTAATCTTTTTCTTCATGTCTGTCATTTGGTCTTTCACTCATTACTATAGCTGTAAGTTATGATTTGTGCAGCCAAGTATTTTTTCTGCAAACACATATACCTACTTTAATGACCATTAATCAAAAGCCAAAGTGGGTAGGAAATGGTTATCATATTGTTCCACAGCATATATATCAAACAAGGAAAGAATGAGGAAAAGGTGACACTTAGTTAGCATTAATTGATTTGTTTTTGGATCAGGAGTTTAACATAGATAGCTGTCAACAATATTCAACAATATCTCTAAAGTAATTAAACAGCTCCTTTCGTTTAAAAATAAAAAGCTCCCAACACTCAACAATCCCATGTGTCCAAAAAGGTTTAAGCAAAATATGCTTTAAAGAAAGAAAAATGATGACTAAGTCTCATCTCATCTAAAGACTTCAATGGCCTAATTAATTGAACTCAAAGAATATTTTAATTTTTTTTCTTACAAGGAGACCGAAGCTTACGGATTAAAGAAAGATAATTATAAGTAGCAAGAATCGAACTCCAATTTTACAAGAATATATTTGCAAAAAATAAATTGTTCCTGTTAAACCATGTTTATGTTTTATTTATCTTGCTGTGATGTTCTTTTCATGCACAAAATGTTAAATTAGTTTTAGGTTTTTTGCTAAATCATAGCTCTACTGTAATTAAAAAAAAATGGCAAGTATACAAAATTTCCTCAACTAAAATTAAACAATCATTCAAATTCTTATCTTCTTATTATTACAATCCATCATCAAACATCTATTTTTACCAATTAAATTTTTATTAAATGAAAATTAATAATTACCAACACTTATTTTCATCCAATCAAGAGTTTAATTGAACAAAAAATAAATATTTAAAAACTTAATTGAATAAAAATAAATATTTAAAGACTCAGTTAATTGGAATAAAATGATAAGCACTAAGACAAAGATTTAATTTTTGTTTAAAGGTTTTTTATACTCAGCTAAAAAAGGGAATTTATATAAGTCATTACAGGTTTTATTTTACAAATTTGAATAAGATTATGGGGGCAGAAATTGTTTTTATGGAAAATAAAAGCCTATATTTTATTTTCAATGTTTAAGTTAAAAACTGAGGTGTTTGTCTCACATTGAATAGAACTGCATCTGTTAGAGCATCTACAGCACTGAAAGGATCATGGATTATATTCCATAGATTAATGATAGCAGCTCATGGAAGATTTTAGAAAATTTTTTATTCAAGATAATAATAGTGCATTATGACTGTTACACACCACAGGCTAGCTCTTGGTGTCACTAGTCGTGCCACGGCTAATTTTTTTTTCTGATCATTGATAACTGCTAAAATTTTGATAGCGACTTCTCCTGCAACTTGACCAATATTCAGCTACTAGCTTAGAAAAGGAAGAGTTTCTCTCCATAAGGTTTGAGGGCTCATCATACTCCACCAAATTTCCTGCAGATATATAATCAAGCAATATTTGCATCACTAGTTAATTTATCAGAAGCCAATTGAATAACACAATGAGATTATAACTGGCAGTCCATTGATTGACATCAGAAGTAGAAACAAAGAGCTCACCACCCGAGAGGACCATGACCATGTCACTGTCTATAACTGTTGGAACTCTATGAGCTACTGTTATCACCGTGCAATTTGAGAACTCCTGTCTGATAATTCTTTGCAAAATGGCATCTGTTGCAGAGTCTATCGAAGCAGTGGCTTCATCTAGGACCAGAATTCTATTTCTGTTCAGAAGAACTCTTCCAAGGCAAAAAAGTTGTCGCTGCCCCACGCTCCAATTTTCACCTTCATCACTCACTGTCAATCCAACAACGACATAACATCATTTTCATTTGATTTAACTGGAACAGGAAATGTGTAGAACATCATAAATCGATAATCAGAAGAAATTTATCAATAATAACTCTTCTTATTTGTGCGCTCCTCACCAGATGAATCTAGCTTGTTTGGCAGGCCAATTATTGTTGTCTTAAGTTGGCACTTCTCCAAACCCTGCACAAGAATATATGGTAAATAAAAAGATTCAAAAAGCTCATTGTTGAAACCTTTTGATGTTACAGTCATCAGTTGGTTCACCTTCCATATTTCATCATCTGAGTAGAGGCCTAGGGGGTCTAAGTTAGTTCGAATGCTTCCCCTAAATAGAGTTGGCTCTTGAGGAATGATGCTAAGCTTCATTCTCAGATCTTTCAGTCCCATAGAGCATATATCAAGTCCATCTATAAGAATTTTTCCACTTGCAGGCTCTACCAGGCGGAACAAGGCGCTTATAAGTGTGCTTTTTCCACTTCCAGTCCGTCCAACAACCCCTACTCTGGTCCCTTCTTGGAAAGTGCAACAGATTCCTTTGAGAACTAACGGAGCATTCAGACGATATCTTATCTAAATTAAGCATAATTAGTAAGTGTGAAACCATAAAAGACAGATTTAGCAATGGCTTAATTGTTGATTGGTTCAAAGAAAATAAATCCATCACAGACTTTGAGCACCCTTTAACCCATTTTCCACTTTAGGTTCCTTACCTTCAGTTCTTGCAATTCTATCCTACCCTTAGAGGGCCAAGAAGATGGTGGTCTGTTGTCTTCTATAATTGCTGGAGGTTCTGCAGATATGTGCATGAACTGTTTTATTCTTTCAACTGAAATTATGTAATTCGATAAGTTGCAATACCAACGAGATGTAAAAATTTGTGCTCCTGTTAGTGATAAAGCATAAGAAAGAGAGAGTCCAACAATCCCTGCAGATCAAAATTTTAGAAACAGATCAATGTCTTTTAACAATGTGTACTTATAATGAAGATTGTTCAATAGAAATTATATTACCTGGAGTAACTTGATTTTTAGGAAGCAGAAGAAGGAAAAATGCAGTAGTGAATAGAGTCAGGTTTTGAAGTGTCTCTATCCTTAGAACTAGCCATTCCGTTGCTGCGTTAGAAAGAAAGAAAAGTGTGGCATCTGTGTCAACAAGCTTTAGGTAATTTTTAAAGAACCTATCCACCATGTTAAAAGCTCTTATAGTAACCACTCCAAGTGATGTCTCGGCTGCATAATTCATAACAGGAGCTTTTGTCGTTCCATTAATTCTTATTAGTTCCCTTGCTGAGGACATATAATACCCCTGCAGTTCATGAAGAACGATATTAGGTCTTTCACCTCATAAGCAAAAGAGATTGAGCAAATCAAGTGAAAATATGCATCCACCTGAATGTAGTTTACTGCTATCATAGCAAGAATGGCCACAATCAGAACTTGCCATGTAATAAAGGCCATGATTCCAATTGTTGCTATGACTTCAGTAGCACCGGCTACCAAGAAGATAGTGGCGAATGGTATGTTAAAATCGAGAATACTCATATCTGATGAAGCCTGCAAGAGTTTATAAAAAACAAAATTTAGTATCTTGGAAAAAGACTTAGAGGGTACATGAAACATTATGTTTTTCTGTATACTCATTGATAAGTGTAATCTTACTCGGGTCAGAATCCTCCCAACAGGAGTACAATCAAAGAAAAGCATTGGAGCTTTGAAAATCGCATCGGTGAGACCAGAGAAGAAGGCTTTAGAAGCTTTTAATCCTAGATGAGCAACAAAATGATCTCTAAAAAATACAAAAACAGCACTAAGTGTTGCAATTCCAGTGTAAACTCCTATCAATATGCTGCTGGTCAAGTTAGGAAATTGAATGGCAAATGCCAGCCAATAGGTAGAAGCAGCCTGAAGAATGACAAAGGTAAACTGAGTTAATACACCTAAAGATAGATCAGTAGATCCATTTGAGACAGAAACATAATCTAGGAATGGCTTCCATCCAACATGGCCAATCTCCTTTTCTTCATCTTGTGTTAATTGTACTCCAGGCGGACCCTTCAACGAGATCTCCCCCTCACTGTTCTGTTTAGTTGAATAAGATACATTAGAAATCTCTGGTCCAACTAAAGCTAGCCCTCGAGATTCTCCTCGACTTTCACTATTTGAAGAACCAAATACTGTTATGGCATCTCTATGAGCATTCACAAGTTGCTCAAATGCTGTCCCAGCCATTAATAGCTCTTCATAGCTTCCTGATTGAGCAATTTTTCCATCCTCTATAACCTAAGCAAAAATCAGATCATCCTTTCTAAAACTAGAAAAACTCATAGATACATAAAGAATATAAAAACATTAATTCAAATTTCACATTTACCAGAATTCTATCAACTTCTGAGAGAAACTCTACTTGATGAGTCACCAGGATGACAGTTTTCTTCTCTAGAGCAGTCATGACACAATCCTGCAATCATAAAAGTCAACTTGATTATGCTACAAAGAACATATATAATTGAGTTATACACCACAGATTCATACGCAAGGAAGAAGCTTGAAGTTGTTTTTCTCACATTGAACAAAACAGCAGCTGTATGCGCATCTACAGCACTGAAAGGGTCATCAAGAAGATAGATATCAGCATCATTGTAGACAGCTCGAGCAAGTTGAATCCTCTGCTTCTGTCCTCCACTCATGTTAATCCCTCTCTGACCTATTTCCGTAAGATCACCATGGTCAAAACTATTGATATCTTTATCCAAAGCACAAACTTTAATGGCTTTCTCATATTTGTGAGCATCCATTGGCTTTCCATAGATTATGTTGTCACGAATTGTCCCACTTTGGATCCAAGAAGTTTGAGAGACATAAGCAATAGATCCAAACATATGAACCTATTTGCAAGCATCAAGGGAAAAGAACTAAAATCAGTGACAACAAAACATATTGCTTACTAACGTACTAGTTGTATATTTGTTTTGTAACTCACAGTTCCTGAAAGTTTTGGTATCTCTCCCAGCATTGCACACAAGATTGAGGATTTTCCGGCACCAACTGGTCCACAAACAGCTATTTTCTGCCCCCTTTTTATTTCCATGTCCACATCCCTAAGGGTTAGACTTATTTCTGGATCCCAACTGAAATTGCCTGCTTGCACCTTGACACTTGTGTCAGAATTCTGCAGGGGAATTTTCCTCACTTCATCATTCTTGAGTTCATTGTCAAGCAGAAAGTTATTGATTCTATCAAAAGAAACTTTGGCTTGTATGAGAATTGAAAGTGCCTCAGGTAACATTCTAACAGGTTCCGCCATACTTCTTAACGTTGCAAGAACTGTAAAGATGGTTCCAGCATTCAATGGGGCACTCCCAAAAAGAGCACATCCCAAAAAGACAGCAGAAGAAACTATGGTTGGAGACATCCAATACAAGACAGTGCCAAAAGGCCTCAAACTTTGTTGTTTAGCAAGCCATTTGAACTCATTACCACGCTGGGATTCAATAAAGCTCTTGAATTTCTCCTCCCATGATTGCAACTTGATGATCTTCATGCTATTTAAGATCTCAGAAGTGGTTCTTAGTCTCTCATCTTGGGCTATCATAAACTCGGATTGAAATTTTTGCAGTATCTTCGCAAATGGCACATTAAGGAATCCGCATATGAGGAGAGGAACTAAACCAGGTATAGCACCAAAACCAACAACTGAGAATAGTACTGCAATAGACATGAAAAGCTGCAATACAAGACTCCAAGTCGAATGAAACCACCATGGAAATTCTCCCATTCTATAGGCATCTACTGCTATGTAATTTACAATCTCTCCAGTTGAATGTCTTATCCTTCCTAAACTTGAAAGCTTTAGCTGCTTCTGATATACTGCCACCATTAATGCTGATCTCATCCTCATCCCTGACCTCCTTGAAGCAAAATACCAATGCCTCTGCGAAAATGACTCAACAACCTTGGAAAGAATGAGGCATCCTAGTAAAACAAAACCTTCATGTAGATTTTCCTCTTCCTGGTTTGAATAATTTACAAAAGCATAAAGCAATAAAGGAAGGGATACTACAGAAATCGTCCTAAGAACTGCACAAACTGCTATAAAAATATTTTCCTTGAAGTAGACCTTTGTTATGGCCCAAAGAACCAAGTTTCTCCTATCACTTGAGCTTTCCTCTCTCACAAGGGATTCCCATGCATTAGCAAACTTTTGGTAGGCCAAATTGGATTCATCTTCTGCACTAATAGAAGGGATGTCTTCAAGAGCTAAAGGTCTCAAATAACCCAATGAAAGCAAAGGATTAATCCAAGAAAATGACAATTGGCTAAGACAACTGGCCTGACAAAGTTCTCTTTGGTTTTTTTCTTCCTTTTCCTCTAATAGAGGCTCTGATAAACTCTCATCTTCAGCACGTTTCCTAGCCAAATGATTGAAGTTTCTAAAAGCACAAAAGAGCAGCAAGATGTTCACAGGCCATGGAAAGATGTCAAAAATTTCAATGCTGTGTGCTCTAAACAGAATCTCAATATGCAGAGCTGAATCCAATAAAGAGAACGACACCCACCAAGCAGAGATGAGAATTTTCATCCATTGTGATTTTTTAACAAGCACGGAAACTGCTAATGATATCCAAATTAATCCTCTGACAAGCTCAACCAACCAGCTCAAGTTATTAAATCCATCATTTTTTGCTATTAGATTCCACAAACCAACACCAATATACAGAATACTAATAAGAGCACAACAGATAGAAACAAGAAGGGAGATCCAGCTTCTTCTGTCAACAACCCTGCGTTGATGCTTTTTGACACAACTTACAAGCAAAAGTAGATAGAAAACAAAGAGGAATAGCAGATTTATGACATCTATGATGCTTCTTTGAATGCAAAAAGAGCCAAAATCAAGTTTCCCTTCACAAATTAGAGAGAATCCCCCTGCATAACCATCAGAAGATTTAGAATTAGCATATTTTTGTATGGGAAAAGAAATAAAAAGAAAAGGACAAAGAACTTAAGAAGGTCAGGACATGGACATTTGGAAGAGAACTTGCTACATGAAGATTTCGCTATAGATTACTAACATATTTTCTCCATTACAACAGATAAGAATGGTCTTAGTCTTTTCTCTTTCAATGTCAAAAGTCTAAAAATATTGTCTTCACGTACAGAAAAGAGAGCAGATGAATGTACATATAGAGGTCGTTCACATGCAGTTATAATGTCAAAGAATGTACTAAACAGATGACTGAAAAAGAACAAATGGGGTGTACCAAGTAAGTTCCTCAAGGAAGCCATGGTTGGAGATTATTCCAGTTTCTGTGCTTTCACTCACTTCAGCTTTTCCATTGAAAGTACCATCAAAGAACCCCTTGCAGTGAACAGATTTATCACATTTATTTTGGTTTTTGTCTGCTTTTTCTTAGTAGACTACCAGGCAGTGGGCTTAAATATTTTATTTACATGTAAATATCAAATGCTAGTGACACTGTATCAATTTATCAGTCCTTATCCTATAACACTTATCCAGGCATGGACTATTGGCGATTAGACAGCCATCGTCCTCATTCAATGACAGAAGAAAGACAAAAAAAAAAAAAACTTTGCCTGCTCAAAATTTCAAAATACATTTGGTATGCGAAATGTTAAATTTAAGAGAAAAATGTGATGTTTTTTAAAAAAAAAAATACAATGTCCGGTATTTTTTTTATATTTTTTATATTTTATATTTAAATTTATTCATTTAATTGAAAGAAATTTATATATATTAATTTTTTTATAATTATTAAATTTTTTTATATATATGATGATAATTTTTTTATTTTGTTTTATTTATAATAAATACCCAAATAATAAATTACACTTTTAGCAACTAAAAGAAAACAAATATTTTTATTTGATTGTTATTTTTATTCATAAAATATCATCAATTAAAGTATTTGGTATTTTTTTTAGTAACAAAATTTGATTAAAAAAATTATTTAAAAAATTAATTAATGCATTTTTCATTTTTTTATATCATAAAAAATTTTAAAATGTTCTTTTAATTTATTTATAAAAAAATCGTTTAAGTCATTTCTATACAAAAAACACTTTAAATAATTTTTTTATGTGTATATAAAATAATTATTTAAATAATTCTTTTATTTTTTTATATTATGGATCATTTAATGATTATCTTTTAAAATATAAAAAGATTATTTAAGGTATTTCTGTATAAAAAATACCTTAAATAATCATTTTATCTTTTTATAAAAATATTAATCTTAAACCTTGAAATATAAAAAGATTATTTAAAATATTTTTTATACAAAAACGCATTAAATAATTTATTTATAAAAATATTAAATGATTATTTAGAACGTTTCTGTATAAAAAAAATACCTTAAATAATAATTTTATAAAAATATAAAAGGATTATTTAAAGTTTTTTCTATACAAAAACACCTTAAATAATCTATTTATAAAAATATAAAAAGATTATTTAAGGTATTTTCTGTATAAAAATCTCTTAAATAATCTTTTTATAAAAATATTAACCATAAACCATAAAATATAAAAGGATCATTTAAAGTATTTTTTATACAAAACGCCTTAAATAGTTTTTTTATAAAAATATAAAAAAATTATTTAAGACATTTTCTATACAAAAATGCTTTAAATAATCTTTTTATAAAAATATTAACCATAAACCCTAAACCATAAAATATAAAAGGATTATTTACGGCATTTTTGTACGAAAAATACTTTAAATAATCCTTTTATCGTTTTAAAGAATAAAAAAATTATTAAAGTATTTTTCATACGAAAACTCTTAAATAATTTATTTATAGAAAATGATTATTTAAGGTGTTTCTTCATGTCAAACTCCTTAAATATAAAAAATATATATTTTTTACTGTACAAAACATAAAACTGAGTTTCAGTCACTTTTAGACATACTTTTCAAAAAAAGAACAATTATTTCTTAATTTTTTATTTAGGTTAAATTTAAAAATAAGGCAACTTTTCTCTCCCTCAAAATCTTAGAATACTATAAGAAGAGGTGGATTTCTTATTTCAAGACTTTAGGTACTATTAAAAATTTGTCACTTTTTCTCATAATCGGATTGCCTTAAACCAAACATGAAAATCAAATACTCACCATCAAGATTTCAAAAAAAAATTTATGAATTTTTTCAAACCAAACGCCACCTAAGTTATATTCCCTGTAGGGAAAAACCTTATACTATTTGTCTTAAGTATCCACTTAGATTTAGCTTTATAGCTTTTAAGAGAAAAAAATGGAGTAGCAACATTTAATGGTCAGAAACTAGATAATCCGACCTTTATTGCCTAAAAAAACCAAATAATCTTTTATTGCCTAAAGAACCACCCTATGTTGATGAAAGAACACTAGTTTATGACATTAAAAGAAGATGATACTACACGTAAGTCTAGTTAAGCATTGTTGTGGAGCCTTGCACTCAATTTTAAAGATATACATCTAATTACCTTATAAAGTTGTTGTCTCCAGGCTCATCTTCGTGCAATAATTGTTCATTTTATGACATAGAAAGAAATTTTCATTTTATTAAGGATATTATTGGATTTTCATTGTAAAACAAAAAAAAAATCTTATAAAAGGTTGTAGAAGATTCTAGAGAAAGGCAAATGAAAAAGAATAAAAAAAATGGTCCAAAAATCATGAAAAGAAGAGAAAAAAAAGAATGAAAAAGAAAAAAGTAGGAAAAAAAAAAGAAGAAGAGTATGATCTAACCTTTATCATCAATTCAGCCTTCATTGATGGTAGGTCACAAAGAAAAAAAGAGATAAATGAAGACTAAAAAAAGAAAAGGTTAAGCCATGAATAAAGGTGATTTATCGAATAATTGGTGACTACATTGAGTTGCTGAAAGTGAGATAACAAAAAATATTGAGTCACGAATTACCACTGTCATACGCCTTCCAATTTGCAGTTCAACGAATAAGTCGAGTACCAACTCGCTCTCTCTTTTTCTTTGGTATTTTTTTTATTAGACTCCATAACTAGGTTTTTAATTTCAAATTCGTAAGTTTATGAAACTCCCATTACAAAATCAAATTTTATGGATTTATAATGTTTTAGATGGACATTTTAAGGTTTTGTTCGAAATGTTTGAAAGAATGTAAATATTGAATATACTATCAGAATTTCTTATTTAGTTTTAAACATGATTTACTTGATAATTTTGTTTAAATTGTTCTTTTTTTGGTAAGTTGGTTGATATTCGGAGAAGTTTAGAGGTACTTAGTAGAGATTTCCTTGGATGTTCACAAAATATTTCTTAAGTAATGCCAACTAAAGGTACCTTTTTTTTTTCATTAAAAATTGTTCTCTGCTACTTTTTACTTTCTTGATAGGATTTTTTTATTTATTTAGGCTTTATGTAAATTTGAATCTTTCTTTTACTACTTACTAACTTTTGATTTTTTGTTTTTGCATTCAACCCTAAAATAATTGTACAATTATTAAGCTATTTTTAACTCTATGATTGTTATCTGTTTATTTTTAAAAATGTGATTGTTATCTAATTATTTTTAAAATTCCTAACTATTGATTTAGCTTTTTTTTTTTTTTTTACTGAAATCACTTAAGTAATTCTTGATTTTCTTAGGTCATTGTGTATTTTACTCATGGAAGTCTGATAATATCTTGCCATAATATTTGTTCTATTAACTTTGTTTTACTCATATTTGTATGGTTCCTTTATTTCTTCTATAATTCACTAAACTAACTTTTAAAAACAAAGAAAAGGCTAGACTTCTTGATTAACTTCTTATTCTTACTTCAATTATTAGTTTTATAGCTAGAGCTGCTGTTACACTTGTCATCCAACAACTTAAGGCTTCTTTGGCATAAAAATATTTACAAAAGAAACCAGATATTATTTTTGTAATGTATTATGTATAGGGCAATACCCTTAAAGTAATCAACCTTCCATCTCAGCATTTTCAAAAAAAAAAAATATTTTGATTCTCTTTTTTTAAAAAAGAGTCCTAAACTACATTCCAAAGAATTTCCTATCATTTTCAATGTTATCATAATATTTAGTAACTACATTTTAGTTACTAAATTTATATAATATTACTTTACAGTGAAATTGGTTGACTATCATAATTGGAGTTAGCTTTTTATCCTTTTTTTATGTTTGTTAAGTGTATTGTAAAGGTCTTCAGATTTGATTTTTGTTTATAGATTATAAAAAGCATATGAGTATTTGCTAACTTTTACAAGTTTTAAGAAATAAGAAAAAAAGGACAACAATATTTTTTTAGGTTCTTACGATAGCTCCATTGATATATATTATTTTTTTCACCTTTGTTATTTATATAACACATTTAAAAAAGAAATGTGTTTAGATTGTAAACATTTTTTTTTTACTTTAAATAATTTTTGGTGCAATTTTATAATTTAATAGCTCATAATAGTGGCAAAATTGTAGTAGTTTTGGTAATGAGTAATAATAGTGATATTATTGTATGCTTTTATTTATGTAGTTGAAAAACATTGAGAAAGGAATCATGCTTTATTATGAGAATCAAATTTATTTTAGTTAGAATATCTTCTTCAAGGTTTGAAGATTGGTGTCATGGCTATTATGATGGGATTGCTAATAAGCTATTTTGTTTATTTTCTATCCATCTTAATTGACCAAGAAATTTAATTATGACATTGCATCTACCTATACCTTTCACGTTTTCACTTTTTTCTTTTTTGGTAGGTCAATTTAATAGGAAGTCATAGTCAATGTGAGAACTTTTGCTTCAACGAAAGACTATCAATTAGATCAGAACAAAAAAAAATGGTGGAATTAGGAGCATAGTTGTTAATTTCATTTCGATACTGGTCAGTACGTTTCAGTTGTATCAAAATATAATATACCCAAAAATAATTTTTCATACCAAATTTAGTATTAGGTAATACTAATTATTTTCATTAATTTTGGCCTGTTTCGATGAATTTCGGTAAAATAGTATGTTTCGACTTATACATAAATGTGAAATATATTTTGTAATTTTTAACTTGTTTTTTATTATTTAATTATTTTTAACCTAATAAAAATAAAATTAATCGACAAAATAACCTTTAAAAGTTGAGTTTTTTTCTTTTTTATTTTAATTTTTTATGTACTTTATTTTTCAAACCAAAGTTTATAAGTATTTCAATTTTTTTTCAAGAAAACAATTAAACTCATTTTATAAAGTTTAACAATCACAAAGCCTTGATTAATTCTTTTCATCCCTTAATTTTTATCTTAATATTTATATGAAAAATACTTATTTAAATATCATATTATCAAATTAAGTATTTTAATATATTATGAAAATTTTATGATATTATTTCTTATACTTTTAAACTTATTTATTTGATTTTTGAATATATTGCATATTTATTTTGTAGATTATTAATAATATTATAAAGTACAAGTTAATATATGTTTATAAATATATTTATATTAAACCAAAATCCAAAATAATATGTCAAAACAACTAGTACCAATATATACCATATTTTTTA